ACACACACACACACACACACACACACACACACACACACACACACACACAGAGAAAATCATGTGATGATAAATGGAGAAGACCGTTATCTACAAGGCAAAAAGAGAAACCAGAATAAACTTTCCTGTGGACACCTTGATCTTGAACTTCTAGCCTCCAGAACTGTGAGAAAATTAGTTTCTGTTGTTTTTGTCATACAGTCTGTGACACTTGGTTATGGCAGCCCTAATATAGAAAACTAATGTAGTCCTAGTAAACCATGTAGACTATAATAAGATAGTGTTAAATTTAGCTTAAAACCTCCTGCATACTTTGAATTCCTGCATAAGAAATGGCAACTTAACTAAGAGTATAATTTTATAATAAATAGCTGAGTTTTATCCAATTACAGAAGCCAAGCTTCAGTCAATAACAGGCCACCATCTGATCAGATCATATCGATATAAAGCAAATGTCAAGCTGTAACCAATCAAGCTGTTTCTGTATATCACTTCCTTTTTCTGTCTATAAATACTTTCTGCACACTTGCCATGTGAAGCTCTTCATACATACTGATTTAAGGTGCTACCTGATTCATGAATTGTTCTTTGCTCAAATAAGTGGTTAAATTTAAGTTGTCTAAGGTTTTTCTTTCAACAGTAGAATGAACCCATGTGAAATGGGTTCATCTTTAATGCTTTACATCTTTTCAAAATGGAATCTGTTTTCTTCCATGTAAATGTTAACACTAGTGTGGACAGAAAAATTCAATAGACTTTTGAGTTGGGAAAGAATCAGGTTAAGTGTGTAAAATTCAATCTTCTGTCATTAATAAATATATTCTGCTGTACTTACATGTTTTTCATGTGGCTCTAATGATTAAAGAAGGTTTTGTTCATTTGTTTGTTTTTTAAGAAAGGGGTTGGGAGATGAGAGAAGTCAGTGATATAATTGAGAGATTATATAGATAAATATATTTTGATTTGTAAATTGTGATTTAATAATACACCAGAAGTTTCATTCTTTCAAATTTTAAAATATTCAATATTATAGCCTTTTACAATATAGATTATTTGGTCAATAATACTAATTTTTCTAGGGGAAATAAAAGGTCAGCTGTTCAACCATTACCACATACTA